AATTATTTTCCATAAGCTTATCCTAACCATGCACTGGACTCAGCTCATTCTTATTCATTATGCATGTGAATGCTGTAACTTTACCACCTGATGAATACTGATTCTTGATACTCTTACAGATATTGATGTTGGGAAACCAAAAAGGTTAAACATCTTTTGTTGGTACTATTAATTGCCGGTTGTATCTCAAAACATGCTAGCAGCTTTATGGTATTAAAACATGCTAGCAGCTTCAACCCTCTTCTGGATAGTCTAGGAAAAATATGACGAAAGTTTTGTGATTAAGCAGCATAACAAACTATACAACAGATTTCTCTACCTGTCAACTAGCCTGCCTTTTTTTGAGGGCTCCTTTTCTTTAACAGCTTTGTTGTTCAGGAGTTATTATTGAAACTGACAACGTCACTTTCAGGTTTTCAGCTTGATATAGAGCTTCACTAAGCCTTCTTAGCTTGTTCAGTGATTAAGCAGTTGCCACCTCTATAAGTTTTTTGTTTCAGATTTAATCTGACAGCACCTAATGCTATGTTCCCTGTTTTACATTACTCTATAAGTTTGAATTGTTATGGTACTGTAGTCCTCAATCCGATAAGAGAATGTTGTGTGTTTAAATTTGGCAAATCATTGTATCATCTGTTCATTGATGTTATTTCTATCAGTATCAGGCTAATGCTTAATATCATCTTATTGCAGATCCTTCCGGGTTTATCCTATTTCCTCTTGTTGTCCACTCTTTTGACTTAGTGGTATCATCTGTGGGCATACTCTCAATCAGGGGAACACGTGACACTGGAGCTAAGGTTCCTATAGAAGACCCCATGGTGATACTCCAGAAAGGCTATTCAGTTACAATAGTCTTAGCTGTTGTAACTTTCGGCCTGGTAAGTATTATTCGTTTTTCATTTAGAGGGTAAATGTTAATCTGAATATGCAGTGTATCCTCTACCTTATTCCCTTTTCTTGTCATTTTGATATTTTTGATGGGATAATTTTGGCAGTCAACTCGATGGTTACTTTACACTGAACAAGCTCCTACAGCATGGTTGAACTTTGCCTTATGCGGCTTGGTAGGAATCATTACAGCATACTTGTTTGTCTGGATCACCAAGTATTACACAGATTATAAGCACGAGCCTGTCCGTCTGCTAGCTCTTTCAAGTTCTACAGGACATGGAACTAATATTATTGCAGGCATAAGCTTAGGTTTGGAGTCAACAGCTCTGCCTGTTCTTGTGATTAGTGTAGCGATCATCTCAGCTTTCTGGCTGGGACGTACCTCAGGCCTGGTGGATGAAACTGGGAGTCCTACTGGTGGTCTATTTGGAACAGCTGTAGCAACAATGGGGATGCTCAGTACAGCAGCTTATGTGCTCACTATGGATATGTTTGGACCAATAGCTGACAATGCAGGTGGAATTGTTGAGATGAGTCAGCAGGTACCATGCTTATTTAATCCTATGGCTTCTGAAAGTCTTGAGTTTCTGTTTCCCGTGGACAAATAATTTTTACACCTAAATGGCCTGATAAAAGAAAACTATCAAACCCCTGAGAAAAGGACAACGAGAAACCTTTTTCCTTGGCATTTTAGAATATTTTTTAGCATTCAATGAATTATACCCCATTCTCATGATGTTACTAGAAAATCTTTCAGTCAGTCAAAGAGTTCGTTGTTTGCTTGATATCTCTTTAGTTGTGACTCGAAGCCCTTCCTACAGTTCTTTTCGAATGACTAGCCAACTTAAATTCATGCAGCCTGAAAGTGTTCGGGAAATCACAGATGTCCTGGATGCTGTTGGTAACACAACAAAAGCTACTACTAAAGGATTTGCTATTGGCTCTGCAGCCCTTGCTTCTTTTCTCCTTTTTAGTGCTTATATGGATGAAGTGGCTTCATTTGCTCAACTCCCTTTTAAAGAGGTATCATGAGTGCTTGGAACTTCTATGCTTGCCGCTGTCCATTTTACCATCCTTTTCTGATGTCTGTCATTTTGTGGACATGAAGGTTGACATAGCGATCCCAGAGATTTTTGTTGGAGGGCTGCTGGGTTCTATGCTTATTTTTTTGTTTAGTGCTTGGGCTTGTTCGGCTGTTGGCAGAACTGCTCAGGAAGTTGTCAATGAAGTTAGGAGACAGTTTATTGAGAGGCCAGGTATAATGGTAAGTGTCTGAGCAACAACTTTGATACTCTACCTGGCCCCTTATTTTGATAATTCTAGTCATGATTGGAAACCAAAATCATGTATAAACAATCTGTTAATCATCTCAGGATTACAAAGAGAAACCAGATTATGGTCGTTGTGTCTCCATAGTGGCATCTGCATCCTTGCGAGAAATGATAAAACCTGGTGCTTTAGCAATTATTTCGCCAATTTTAATCGGTGTGTCTTCATCTTATATACTATACTAAATTGCACGCGATATTTGTATACAATGTTTATCTGATGACGGTGATGATGTGGTTATCAGGATTCCTTTTCCGGTTATTGGGTCAAGCCACAGGCCAACAACTTCTTGGAGCCAAAGTTGTGGCATCAATGCTAATGTTTGCTACAGTTACTGGCATCCTTATGGCCCTCTTCCTAAATACTTCTGGAGGAGCCTGGGATAATGCTAAAAAGTACATTGAAACTGGTGCTCTGGGAGGCAAAGGAAGTGAGTGCCATAAAGCAGCAGTAACCGGAGATACGTAAGTTTGCGCTTCTTTGTTATGTACAATTTTATGTTATAGTATTGCTCAAGATAAATCTGTGTTGTACATATAGGAAAGTAAATAAACTTTTTTTTTTTTTTTTTTTTTTTGAATTGGCCTCATCATTTTCTTCCGGGATGTCTTCTGAAACATGGAATACATTTCACCTAATTTGCTCGTATTTTCTTTATTTTTGGTCTCGATTCAAGTATTTCTCGTCTGCTTCACCTTTCCTAAACGAAAAAACTTGAGTATTTTTCTATTCCTGTGATATTATCATGATTTTGCTTAAGTTGCTACCTTCAAGACCTTTAAACCTATTGTTTCATCACAACAGTAAATTCTTGGGGAAAAAAGACAAAACATTAACAAGCAATCTACCTCTGGCTGGAAGATATTAATGTTTAGCGTGCATTGGGCATTGCTTCTTCTTATCTCACAGACCTTTCTAGGGATAGTACACTTCTCTGTAACTTCCTTTGGTTTAATGTGTTTAGCAATTTTGAAGGTCAAAGGGCTTATCAAGGTAAGTGTGCGCTTTAGAGAGTAGTAGTGTTTTAGCTGGTAAACAAGATCATACTAATAAAAAAAATACTTGATCTTAAATGAGATCATACTGGAGTTGGTTGGATTTTAGGGAGCAAGGGAAGGAAGTAGAGTGGTAGGGAGATGGTGTTTCAGCTGGCGTTTCTTTGTAAGCATACAAAAAGAACCATACACATTCTATATACACCGATACATTGTTACACATCAGCCACCGAACACTTGTAGCCTTTCCTAATAAGATCCAAGGATTATCATCCTTTTCGTCGGTGCCTTTGAAATCCTATTCAGGCAGTTAAATCCATTAAAAGTTTATTTTTAAATTTGTCAATGTGTTAAAACATTTTGTCAGATGTGTTAACGAGACTTCTTTTTTACTTTTTTTTCTTATGATCTGCAGGGTTGGAGATCCATTCAAAGACACAGCAGGGCCTTCCCTCCATGTTCTTATAAAGATGCTCGCCACCATTACGCTGGTCATGGCTCCCATCTTTCTGTGAAAAATCTATTGTATATGTTTGATCTTGACTGAACCAGAAGTATACGTCCATATACCTGTTACTTGTAAATGCAAGTTTCTTAGTGGCGGTAGTTACATGTGGAGTGATTGTTGCTGGATTTTTGTGTCCCGAGGAGATTCAGTTCGGCGTGACCCCTTCTCTCGAGTGATGTAATCATTAGATCTTTCCGGGAAAAAAATGAGTACTGATTGTACATATAAATGAATCAATTGGAGAATGCAGAAGGTTTTGGCATATGCTCTCTTGTATATAGTGCTTTTGTCACCAGAAAACATGGTTCTGCGAAAAGCAGAAGCAATAATATTTTGTAAGGGACCGACTGTTGTTTTTTTTTTGTTGTGAAATTAATCACGAGGGTGATTATGGCCAAAGCTGTGAGTATTTGAGATGTAATCCAATTCCAGTCATAATCAGAGGCGCCGCTGGGGCGGAATTTCCGGTTCCGCAGAACAGGGCCCCCCGCTTGGAGGGGCCCCATAATCACCAACCGACGCTCCGGCGGCATCTTTCTCACCTCCGGCCATAATTCTAGGGTTAAGAGTGAGGGTTTTAGTTCCCAAGCTTGATATCAAATTTTTCCATCGTCTCGTCTCCCAATCTCTTTACCTCTTGAAAGCGGAAGCAAAACAAGCTCTGGATCCACGGAAAGAAGCCTACTTTGGGTTCCTCATCATTCGAAAGCTCTTTTCTTCTCCTTTTCACTACTCATCCCCCTAATTCCCCACAATCCAATCTTTATTGCTCCCAGAGAACTCCAGCAGCACCCAGGGATGAATCAGAAGAATCCCACGTCGAAACTTCCTCCTATGTGCCTCTCCTTCAACAATGCACCGCGCTCGGGTCGCTTCCGATGGCTCAATCCCTCCATGCCCACATTCTCAAAACTGGAACCTATCGAGATGTATTCATTTCAACTTCACTCATCAATGCATATATGAAGTGTGGCGCCGACATCCATGCGCGCAAATTGTTTGATGAAATTCCCGAAAGAAATGTTGTCACTTGGACCTCTCTGATCACTGGCTATGTTCGTAATTCGAAACCTGAATCTAGTATTGAGTTGTTCGTTGAATTGTTACAAACAGGGTGTTACCCTACTAATTACACTCTTGGATCGGTTTTGAGTGCTTGTTCTTCGCTTTGCGAGATTGATTTTGGCAAACAGATTCATGGGTATCTAGTGAAGTATGGGCTTGAGTTGGATACTAGCATTGGGAATTCTTTGTGTGGCTTGTACTCAAAATGTGGAAGGTTGGCAGCTAAGGCTTTTCAGAGGATTGAGGATAAGAATGTGATTTCTTGGACGACAATTGTGTTGGCTTGTGGGGATAATGATAATGCTGAGTTGGGCTTGAGGATGTTTGCAGATATGTTGGTGGAGAATGTGCAACCAAATGAGTTCACTTTGACAAGTGCGATGAGCCTATGTTGTGTGGCGCCTGACCTTTGTCTAGGGAAGCAGGTATATTCTTGATTTCTAAGAATTTATTTCAATGATTTAGTAGGCTATGAAGAGAGGTTAAATAAAGGTGCATGGGTTGAATGTAGTTCATGTTCATTTTAGCATGCAACTATCAAGTAGGATTGACATACACACAATATGAGACTGAACAAGATAACTAGTGAAAATCTGATAACACCTCTAATTAAGAGGCCCCAATTGAAATTTAGAACCGGGCCCCCAAATTGTCAGCCACGCCTCTGGTCATAATAAGTTTGAAAGCAAAAGCACCGTATGGTATAATGAAGTTATACCAGACCCCCATATCATTAAGGGTGAGAAGGTGTGATGCTGGGACTTGAAGCATACTTGAGATTCCAGTGCCTCGATCGTGTCAAAACTAGAAGGCTGGGCTCAATAAGCTCCCAGGATGTTTAGCATCTGAAAAATCCTGGGTATGGCTTCAACCGGAAACAAAATGCTGCATGATCATCAAAGCCTACTGAAATTCCTTCGCTAAGATCCTCATGCTTGAAAGAACCTGTGGAGACTGTTTGTAAAAATAAAAAAAGGAGACAGAATTTCTGAGGCGTGAAAATACTTCCCTTAAAAAAAATGTTTGTACCCTTTGGTAATTCAAGTTTGATTCAAGTTCATGCAAATTTTCTTCCCAGTAGACAACAGAAAATAAAAAATTCCTGAAAGCAAATCTGGAACTTTCTACCAATTCTTCGTGAAACAAGTTTGTAGGATTGCGGGTTTTTTGAGAGAAATTTTTTACTGAAGGTAAAATGAATATTATTGGTCCAATAAGAACTGCAAAATTAACCAGGCGTAAAAGAAAAAAAAGAAAACTACAAGACAGCCAGGTTTACACCGATCACGCTTTTTACTACAAGAAGAAATCAAGAAAGTTTCTCAAGTACTTTTATTGATAAAACAAGTAAATTGCCATTATTTAGCTTTATATGATTCAAACTCAACCCAAGGGTTCAGAGTTGGAAAATCCGTTTGTAAAACAGGTATCCAACAAAAAAAAAGTCATGTTTTGACAGCGGGTGGCAGGGCGCTGGAGGGTCAATAATTCAAATATAAAGATATGATAGGTGATATTTGAAATATATGACAATGATTAAGATTAAATCAACATGATTAAGGTCCCTTTTAACCCAAGACTGATAAAAGATTAGAATGGAATAGTGAAATCAATGGGTTACTTGCGTAATGAGTCCAGAGCGAAAAAAGGAAGAAAAAAAAAAAGCAAAGTTTGACATCTTGATCAAAAAGTTACATGCATGAACCTTTTCCATGCAAGTAGTATACCACAAAAGCAACATATCCAATTGTATACACCTTTTTTTTATTACTAAATTAAGATAAGATAAGGTGCATATCTTCTAATTAACTTTCAGCTGTCTACGATTCCACCCAAAAGAGCATAAAAAGGGTTCTTATTTATAAACCCACAATTTAATCATAATTTATTTCTAAACCAGAAATACAATATTAATAAGGGGAAATTTAAAAAAAAAGCATTTGCATAATTTTTATGAGAAAAATCGATTTCTTTGTGTTTTAATTGGCAAAATTATCTTCTTTTCGGTCACGTCATCACGGCTAGCCAAAAAGAGGTTGATTTTACTAAATATAATCTTTAAAATACAAGGGAGTATAGATTTAGAGGTCGTCAATTAAGAATTAACTACTTCTATGTGGCCCCATTTACACGTAAAGATTAAATTAGCCGGTAATTAGTGATTGTTAAATATACATGACTATTAGTGTTATGTATTTCAAATGTTGTATTTTGCAAAATTGACCTTTTTTAAGTCAGCCATGATGATATGACCATAAAAGGTCGATTTTGCTAATTAAAACACAAAGAGGTTGATTTTTCTCATACAAATTACAAAAAGGATCTTGTTTATTATTGAACATGAGGTTTATCTGTGGATTGTAGTGGTGTTAGGGTCCTCAAACTTCCTCAGATGACTAGTTCTGGAGCCTGACGTTCTCTCATGCACATGAAAAGCTCGTGAGAGGCCAGAGTTGGGTTCTCTGGTTGTTCCTCCGACGATCAAGTTAGTGTTTGAACATGAGCGGGGGAATGAGAGGTGAGTGATGAAAAGTTGCTCAGAATTGCAGGGAAAACGGAGAGGTTACCTTAGGCAACACAACTTCCTTTTATAGTAGATCGGAAGGGAAGATAGGTAAACTCTGGCTGAGTCTAGACAAACAATTGAATAGGCAGATACCTTTACAGGTGTCAGCCGCTGAAGAAGGTGAGTCATCCAGACATTTAATGTGAGGGAAAAAACAAGTGCTCAGTGCTGACTATGTCTGATGAGTCATAAAAACCATGGGAGCTAGAGCAATGATGACTCTGACAACACATTTAAGGAAAGGGTAGTCGGTTGTCGGCGGGGGGTTCGAGGACACACCACCTCTTTAGTCGTTTGGCTGAAGGCCGACAAACACCGCCTTTTTAGTCGGCTACACATGTTTTCGACTGGAATATCAAGAAGAGTACGGAGGCTTATAGCCTCAATTGGGTGGGTAAGTCGACAAGTACCTCCTTTTTAGTCGGGCGCTCAAATTGTCGGCTGGAATAGTAACCCGACTGCAGGAGCAGCTTGAGTCGTTTGTCTTTGGATACGTCTGATTAGGCGTGGAGCGGAACATGCGTTAGCCTCCCAAGGAAGATTAACACTTAGTTATTTGTAGGCTATCATGAGAGGTTTCTTTTTTTAAAAATTCCTCTATTAATAATTTCGAGTGGGTGGGTAGAAAATAAATAAGAATAAAGGTTTGGGTTTATAAATAAAAACCCAAAAAGCTACAGTCTCTCAAGTAACACGCACCCTAGCACGTGGCGTGCCTCTCCTCTATATAACGACCCTCGTTCCCCCTTTGGATCTTCGTCCATTCGCCATTTCCCCTCAAATTCTCCCCCAAAAAGTTCCCCAGGTTAAAATTTTATCAAAATCGATCTCGATGCGGATTCCTTAATGTAAGAGGCGGAATCGATATCGATCGACCAATGAGAGGACCGCGATCCCGAGCACCCCCACGTCGGCGCGAAAGCGCGCCGACGCGCCCGCCGCGGGCTGCTCGCCGACGGTCAGCCTCGTCACTGCCAGCGCAGCTCCAGATGGTGGAGGCGGCCAGAGTGCAGCGGCGTGGCGGGTGGCGCGGCAGGCGACCGAGGAAATGGTCTGGGGAATTTCGAGGAGCGGAGGAGCTGTGGGAAGAGTAGTCGTGATAATTGTGACGGGGAGCAAGGGATTAGGAGTTCTTGGAACGTTGAGCTGATGGCCAACCAGAAGCGGCAGTGGTATCAGATCCAATCCCAAGCAAAGGTTCTGTTCTTGGTTTTTGTGGGTTTCCATCAATCTGTTTTCTTGAAAAATTTGGAATCTTTTTGTCCAGATGTTCTCTATGTTTGTTTGCATATTAGAATGTTGTGCTTACATTGGTTTTCAATTGAGAGTAACCCAAATCTGTCATAAATCCGAAAATTGACCGCTCATGTAGTTAATGCGGGACTAAATGGATCCTAAACTTGCTTCCGCTGTCCGGTGCCCATGTGGGTTGTTTGCGAACTAGTGTAGTTATCGTCGAACACTGCAAGTGAGATCCTAGTGTCGTCCGTTTGATTGCAGCAGAGTTTCAAGATTGACAGACGATTGACTGTCAAATTTTGCGACTTATCAAATCAGTTTAGAACAATGATCATTTAGTTTATAGCATCCTTGTAAACACCTCATAGAGGATGCTATTGGTAAATTATCCATTGGTATTTGATGAAACTGCAGATGAGGTACACTTAGTTAGCTTATAGCATATCTTTTGTATAGAGTTCACAGAGGATTCTTCATTCCACTCATTAGTCTTCTTTTTTTCTTCAAGTGATTTACTATTAAATTACATAAGGTGATCCTCATCTGCATTATGAGTGTAAGGCCTTCTGAATATTCTTTTTGAGCAAATGCAGTATGATTATATAGTAACTGACTAACTGGGTTTTCACTTCTGTGCAGGATCATAAACAACATAAGGAACCCACATCGCTATTTGAACACTTCTTTATTGTGGGCCTTTCCTCATATGCGAATGTTGAAGCTGTAGAGGATGCATTTGCAAGGAGAAAGACTTGGGAGTCAGAGGTTGCCAAATCTGAAATCCTAGATCTTAGGAAGATTCAACGCCAAGCACGTATGCCTACTCTGGAACCTCAGGTCTGCTATTGATGCATGTTTTCCAGCACAATCTCAATTTTACTTCTATAGCTTATTATTAGCTCATTGAAATGATTGTTTATCACACTGCAATGACAAATTTGTGGTTGGATATTGACACGAATATTATGGATTAGCGCTCACTAGATTTACTGTTTCTTGAAAGAATGATATTGACACAAATATTATGGACTTGTGACGATGCCAATGATAGTCCAAATATTTTATTGATAATTGGCATAGTGATGCTTTCTTCAGCTAAGAGGTTTTAATGTGGAGGAACATAATAGCGGCATAATAATGGCAATAATGGAAGACACGGTACTACAGTTCATAATGTCGCAAAACATGATATGGCTTCCTTGCATTTGTTTCAGTCTTCTGCTTTTCTTGTCGAATTTATTTGTTGATAATCATTTTGTGTGTTCCTGAGGCTCATAATTTTCTCAATTTCTTTTGGTAGAGGTGGGGATGAGGTTTTGTATCAGTGGGTATGCCCTTTTCGGATTAGTGGTCTCTTTCACGACCATGGGTAATAAATCTAACCATTAAGAATGAGATGGATGACATGCTGAATCACATGATGAAGGAAAAAGTGCATTATGATAAGTAAAATGATATGTGTTAAGTTAAATATTGGGTATTGGGTTAATGGGCTGTTACCCGTTAACCTTAACCCTATTTGTATGGCTATATATATCTCTTTTGTTATTCTCAATAAACTATTAGGGTTTTCTCTATTTTCTACAATATGAATTATATGTATGAACAGTAGGTGCATATGCTAAACAAGAATTTCCAGATAGAGGGAGGGAAAACTAGATAAAATTAGTGATGAATAGGTAAACAGGGAACCATAACAAGCATGATGAATTGCATGATAAAGGAAGCCAAATTAGTGATGAATAACTGTGCAACAACTGTAATGAGATAAATATTATTAAGTTATAAAATTTAAAGAGAAACCATATAAATTTCTCAAAATAGTCAATTTTTTCCAAAATATCATTATGTGAGCAGTGGAGTTATATTTATGCTTAAACTTCAGAATATATGGTTATTTTCTACTGGAATAACGTGAAATAGGTAAACCAACGGGGATAACAAACATCAGGACAAACTACAAAGGAACTGATCCAAAGATCAAGTTAACCTAACCAGAAGATATACAAAGTTCTAATATACAGAAGAAGATGAAATTAAACTATGCAGTGGAAGAAAGAAATAGAGACCCCTATTTATTCATTACAGCTTAAAAAGTACGTTTCTTTCTTCTCAGTGTCTCCTTTAGATTTTCAAGCTTCTAATTGTCAGTTGCATATCCATAATTGTTCCTTAGATGAAGGCTTTAATGAGGTTATTCATACTAGTATTACTCCAAATTGAATACGTGAACAAGGAAGCTTTTACGATGGTTGAGTGCTACATATGACTAATATGATCATTACCTACGATTTCTTGTTTTTTTGTAGGACATAGACTTATAGTTTGAAATTATCCATTACTATTTTGTTATCCTGTCTAGATTCCTTATGTTCTTAAAACTGAGTTTTTTAATGTATCTGTAGTTTCTGATGCCAAATCAGTCTTTTTGAAGATGGTTCACTCGTAGTTTAATTGTCTGATTCATATATGGTATCTAGATCAGTTGGCTTGATCCTTAATGTTAATTTTTCGCCGATTGTTTGTTATTTGGTTTCCTTCATTTCCCGCTTGCAATTTCCAAGCTGATATTTCGTCTTGCTCAACAGATCCTTTTCAAGTACCCTCCTGGAAAGCAAGTGGCAATGAGGGAGAGTGATGTACCTATTTTTTGCTTCCCTGAAGGTGTTAAGGTTCAGTTCATCTCATTCTTATATTGATATTCTTCATGTTGGTACCTTTGCTATCTAATTTGAAAGTATGAGTAGAAAAGAGACATGTGTATATGTTTTTATTGTAATTGAGTTGTGCATGTTCTAAGTTGCGAGTCCTTTTCTTTGACACACTTGTAGCATTTACTTCTCTTAATCAAATCTTTCTCACCAATAACCTCCGTGACTTTGGATTTTGATGCTATTTCCCCAATGAATACCCTCTTTCTCCTTCTCCTCGGATAGGATTCTCTGAAATCTTGGTCTTTCCATCCTTTCCCTCTGAGATTCATTTAGTGGGGTCTATATGATCATCATCACCAATCTTTTATTTATCCTGTTCAGTGTGTTTGGGAATGACTTTGGGAAGGGGAAAGAAGGGGAAAAGTTCCCCTTCCTTCCCTTCCCCTTCACCCTAATTTGGGGTGTAAGATTTTGGCTCAAATTTCCCTCCTATTCCCCTCCTCTACCCTCCTAAATGGAACTCTCAAACAAGGTTAAAATTAGATTTCTCTTCCCCTCCCCCTTTTTACCCTCCATCCAAACAAGCTAGTTGTCTTCTCTTTCTTGCCAAAACAGAAGGATTCTTCCTTTGGTTAGGCCAATAAACAATCTTGTGCCTTCGTAACTACTAATGGTTTCTTTTGTTACGTGGACATATATTCCTTGAAATACATAATGCTATGACTAGCCTACCTCCCTGTGCATGATCGAATTATGTGCACTTTGAAACCGCTGTCAAAGACATCAATTTAACACAATTCTCTATTTTTTCCCATACCCCTTCGGTCAAATATACTTGTTCTTCTTCTTCCTTTTTTTTGGTGTGAGGAACCTTGGCTTAGTAATAACCAAGTAAACCCTGGAGCCTAGGGCCCCTCTTTTGTAGTCTAGACCCAGGTGAATAGCATAAGTATTACTGTGGAAATCGGTAGGTTCATGAAATATCTAGCCGTCAATCTCATATATTTGTTAAGAGGTACTAAACCCCTTTTATATACAATTAGGTCACAATTAGTTAGAGAAAAAATAGGAAACTAACTCCTAATTTACAGCTAGCTACAAATCAACAACTCATTTACAACTAGCTACAAATCATCAACTAATTTATAGTTAGCTACAAATCAACAACTAATTTGCTATACAAGGATTACACAAATTCCTTAAAATAGATTTTCTTAAACTGTAGGAAATAAACATGCTTTTCAACACTCCCCCTCAAGGTGGAGCATGGATATCAATCATGTCCAACATGGATAAATGTTCTTCAAATCTGACTCTTGGTAGACCATTGGTTAAAAAATCAGCAAGTTGTCCTTTGGATGAGATGTAAGGTATACACACAAGCCTTCTTCAACCTTCTCTTTGATAAAATGTCTATCCATATCCACATGCTTAGTACTGTCATGGTGAATTAGATTATGAGCAATACTGATAGTTAACTTGTTGTCACAATACAATAACATAGGATTCTCACTCTGAAGTGATAGCTTGTTCATGATTCGTTTTAACCATAGAAGTTCACATATTGATTGTGCAAGAGCTCGAAGTTCAGCTTCAGCACTACTTCTTGCAACCAATGGTTGTTTTTTTTGCTTCTCTAGGTCATTAGATTACCCCATATGAATGTGCAATACCTAGTGGTAGACCTTCTATCACTGGCTGATCCAGCCCAATCTGCGTCAGTAAATACCTCAATCTTTCTTGAATCATTCTTTTTGAAAAACAACCCCTTTCCTAGGATTCCTTTGAGATATCTCATAATGCGAACTGCTCCAAGATGTTCTTCATATGGCTTGTGCATAAACTGACTGACCATACTAACAACATAGGCAATATCGGGTCGTGTATGGGATAGATAGATAAGACACCCAACCAACATTTGATATCTTCCTTTATCAACAAGAATCTCTCTTTTCTTATATCCCAGCTTTTGGTTCTCTTTAATCGGTGTGTCTGCTGGCTTACTTCCCAGAAAACTTGTTTCTCTGAGCAAATCAATGGTATATTTTCTTTGTGACACATAAATCCTTTTCTTTGATCTTGCAACTTCCATACCGAGAAAATACCTCATGGGTCTAAGGTCATTGATTTCAAACTCTTTGGCTAGAACTTGCTTCATCCTCTCTCATTCGGTTGTGTCATCTCCAGTAAGTAGGATATCATCAACATACACAATTAGAACTGAGATTTTCCCATGTTGAGACTTTCTAAAGAACAAAGTATGATCAACGTGAGCTTGAGTGTAGCCATATCTCTTTACCGTTTTTGAAAAACGATCAAACCAGGATCTTGGAGACTGTTTTAATTCATAGAGGGATTTCTTACCATAAACATCTTCAAAGCCAGGAAGAACATCCATAAATACTTCTTCTGCCAGATCCCCATTTAGGAATGCATTTTTGATGTCAAGTTGGGAAATTTTCCAGTCTTAAGTTTGCAGCAACAGAGAGGACTCGTATAATGTTGAGTTTGCTACCGGGGCAAAGGTTTCTTGATAGTCTACTACATAGTACTCCATAGGATTGTGTGAATCCTTTTACAACCAAGCGAGCTTTGAATCTTTCGATAGAACCATCTGAATTATACTTCACTATAAACACCCACTTGTACCCAACTGTTTTCTTTCCCTTCGGTATTGCTACACACTCCCAAGTTCCATTTTGCTCTAGTGCTTTGATCTCCTCCATAACAGCTGCTCTCCATTCTGGAATGCTCAATGCCTCTTGAATAGACTTAGGAATCACTACATTGGACAGATTAGTAGCAAAGGCTCGATAACATGGAGACAAATTACTACTTAGGAATCACTACATTGGACACATTAGTAGCAAAGGCTCGATAACATGGAGACAAATTACTATAGCACATGTAGTCTGAGATGGGGTGAGAAGTACATGTTCTTTTCCCTTTTCTTAGGGCGATGGGAATATCTAAGTCCTGAATTGGTGTAGGATTACCTGGACTTTCGAAGGGAACATGATCTGTAGGAGAATTCAGGCTTGAAGTATCAAGAACTAGTGGATTTAATGACTGGTTCTGCTTTGGTGTGTGAATTCCTTCATTTCCCTTCCTTTTCCGTCTCTCATAGACAAGTAACTCTGGACTTTGAACCTCTTTCCCAGTTTTTTTAGTTTGTGGAGTGGACTCGAGTGGCACAACAGTGGGTGGTTCCTGAGGAAATGAAATAGAGTGATTTAATGAAGGAACGGAAGTAGGTTGAGGACTAATCGAATCAGGTTGATCTGATGGAGAAGTAACAGGTTGGGAACTTTTGGACCCTGAGGTGATAGGGCTCACAGAGGTAGGAAGTGTATCCCCAAAATTCTAAAAACTCTCTTCTCTTGTCACACTCTCCCCCTGAAGTGAGTTGTTGGTGAAGTAGGGTTGATTCCAAAAAAAAAAATCCATACTAACAAACATTTTTCTAGTTTTCGGATCAAAGCACTTATACCCTTTTTTTGTTGGTGAATAGCCCAAGAAAACACATTTAATGCTCCTTGGATCAAATTTACCCCGGTTATGGGAATGTATATGGACGAATGGGGTGCACCCAAATATCTTAAGTGGTAAATTTGAAATCAGACGATTTTTTGGATAGACACTTTAAAACACTTCTAGAGGAGTCTTGTACCCTAGAACTCGAGTGGGCATTTTATTGATGAGAAATGATGCAATAAGGATAGCTTCGCCCCATAATGATTTAGGCACATTAGTGATAAATATTACTATTAGGGACCTAGCAACTTCAAGTAGATGCTTATTTTTCCGTTCAGCCAACCCATTTTGTTGAGGGGTTTCCACACAACTATTTTGATAAACAATTCCCTCACTTTGAAGAAATTCCCCAAGAACAATTTTAAAGTACTCACCCCCATTGTCTGTTCTAAGAATTTGAATTTGGGTTTGAAACTGAGTTTTGACCATTGAATGAAATTTTTTAAAAACTTGTTCTGTTTCAGATTTTGTTTTTAAGAGATATACCCAACATAGTCTAGTATGATCGTCGATGAAAGTAATAAACCATCTAACACCTGAAAAATTTTTAACTCGTGAGGGGCCCCATATATCACTGTGTATAACTGAGAAAGGTGCTAAATGTTTGTATGATTGAGATGGAAAAGATACACGGTGATGTTTGGAGAGTTGACAAATTTCACATTGAAAGGAAGATGGATCTTTATTATTGAAAAAGGATGGAAACAAAATTTTCAGATACAGAAAGCTGGGGTGGCCGAGTCTATAGTGCCACAACATGACATTATTTTCACATAAAGAAACAGAAAGAGATTTGTAAACTAAATTTTGTCTACTTAGAGTCTTATCTAGATAATAAAGTCCTCCACATTCTTTAGCATTGCCAATCATCTTCCTCGAAGCCAGTTCCTGAAATTGACATGAAAAAGAGCTAAACTTAGCAACACAGTTTTGATCATGGGTGAGTTTGCTAATGGATAAAAGGTTGCATGAAATAGAAGGAACATGACGTACAGACTTTAGGACCAGATTTTTTGACAAAATAATTAAACCTTTCCCTGCCACTGTGGCTAACGAACCATTAACATTTTTTACTTTCAAGTTATCAACACAAGGAGTATAAGAGGAGAAGAGTGAGGAACAACCTGTCATATGATCTGAGGCACCAGAATCAATAACCCATGGGGTTCTGTCCTCAGTTAGCACACTGAAAGACCGAGGAAATTTACCTTTCTGAGCGATAGAGGCAGATGAAAGGGAGGTAGAATTCAGGAGTTTCATCAGGTTTTCCAGTTGCTCCTTGTTGAGGGAGACGGACACTTTCTGGTATTGATTCCTCAGAAGCAGTACGAAGAGCTCTGTTCGTCCCTTGGTCCGGTTGTCCGTTTTTCAGATGAGAGGGTTTTCCATGCAGTTTCCATCAAGTTTCACGAGTGTGTCCAGGTTTCTTACAATGGTCGCACTAGGGTCTATTTCCCTTTTTATTTCGAGAGTCATTACCACCATTAGGAAAGGTGAGCCTGTTGCTTCTGGCTGCAAGGGCTGATGATTCTGACTCAGTGACAGGGGCCTCTCGGGTTTCTTTTTCCAGCATAACACTCCTGCTTTCCTCCATGCGGACCTTGGCAAATACCTCACGAGTGGATGGTAGGATTTCACGTCCAAGAATTCTACCACGAACCTCATCAAGTTCATTGTTCAGGCCAGCCAAGAATGCGAAAACGCGATCCTTCTCAATCATTTTTTTGAAGATGTCACTGTCTTGTGGACAGTGCCATTCATAGTCTTAAAATAAATCCAGCTCCTGCCATAAGGTTCCGAGTGTATTGTAGTATTGTAACACACTCAGATTGCCCTGTTTCATGCTGCGGATCCGTGTGGCAATTTTATAGACCTGGGCAGAATTTCCCAGATCAGAAAAAGTCTCCTTTTTAGCTTCCCAGATTTCTTGAGTAGTGACAAGGGACATATAAGTTTTGCTGATCGTTGGCTCCATCGAATTGATTAGCCATGACATGATCAAGGCATTCTTAGATTCCCAGGTCTCAATGGATTCAAGACCTTTTGGTTTCTGTGTAGCTTCTGTCAGAAAACTAGTTTTTCCACGACCCCGGATGAATAACTTGACCGACTGGGACCATTGGAGATAATTTTCTCCATTGAGTTTGTGAGTAGTGATTGGTTGAGAAGAAAGATTGTCTTCAGGAGTATTTGACAGAAGAGAAAGTTTCGAAGATGATTTCGCTGATCCAGAATCGAGTGACCGATCACCTACACTGGATGTGTCGGACATGGTGGCTATTTAAATTTTTTCGGTGATCAGATGTTTGCTCTGATACCATGTGGAAATCGGTAGGTTCATGAAAACACTAGCCGTCAATCTCATATATTTGTTAAGAGGTACCAAACCCCTTTTATATACAATTAGGTTACAATTAGTTAGAGAAAAAATTAGGAAACTAACTCCTAATTTACAGCTAGCTACAAATCAACAACTAATTTACTACAATTCAACAACTAATTTACATCTAGCTACAGGATTGAGATCCTCTACTAATAAGGAGGTTCCTAATATCTCCTAATGGGATCTTGGCCTTTTATTTATCAATCAAAGGCCAAGATATTCTCATGAGCAAAAATAGGGGGAGGATAAGGATGAGATCTTGGCCTTTGATTGATAAATCAAAGGCTAACATATATTTATTAGGAGATATTAGGAACACTATTTATTAGTAGAGGATCCCAATATCTAGCTACAAATCAGAAACTAATTTACAGTTAGCTACAAATCAGCAACTAATTTACAGTTAGCTACAAATCAGCAACTAATTTTCTATACAAGGATTACACAAATTCCCTATAATAGATTTTCCTAAACTGTAGGAAATAAACATGCTTTTCAACAATTACACTGCCTAAAAATTAGAAATTGAGGATAGACATGCCATAGATACGGATCGACCCTTGGCCCAAAGCGCCAACCACAAGCCCACTTGTAGGGGTACACTTGTTCACAACAAGCTCTACACAATATGTTGCAAAAGCCGATCTTTTGGCCCTGGCAGTGCGTCATCCATGTATCAAGGTGTAATGGTTTATCAATCTGGCTATCATCTTGAGAAATAATTCTGCATGAGATGAAAACAGGTAGGGGTATCTCTTAAGTACCAAATTTCTATTCCGTCTTTTCTACCTGACCAATGTCCACCAAATAGCCAGTTTAAGGATCTTGTTGACATTTTTCTTTTTTCAAAGCATTTAAAGGCTATAATATGAATTGGAGAAGGGTTTTCATGGGGCATGTAATCTATTGTTGTTAGCCAATTGTTTTGGTTCTCATACTTAGTTTTCTATTGCCAGGGACATATTCAACCTGCAACTAGGTTATTATACATATGGCTCCTCTCATAACCCTATCCCTGTTGTTGTTCCACTTTCAGGCTGTAATTAGTAACGACTAAACTGGATCCTTTTTTTTTCTTGTCTCTACCCCTGGATACAGTTACCTATAACTCATGTTTGTTTTATATGAAGCGAAAAAAATCTCCCTTTTGGTTTCATCAACCCTACAGTTCTTAGTAAGATATGCACCTTTTTTTCCTGCTAAAATCTACTCGGTTTTTAAGTTCAATTTTCATTATTCTCTTCTTAAGTTAAATTTACATATTTTGTCTGTTTTTTTTCTTCCCCTACTGTACCTATTTAAGGGTCCCTAGATGGAACAGTACGATTGTATTTATCACTATCTTTCTGAAGTGCTTTCTGATAAAACATAGCAGTATTATATTTTACTGTTAGATGTACACCACATAAAAACATTTTCTTTCTTGGAGATGCATTTCGGTACCAAAAATGCTGATGATGAATAGACATTTGCAATTCTGTGTTTTAACTTTTTCAACTTTCCTGATGATAATATGGAGTTATTTCTTATTATAATGAAGAGAGACTAATCTTTCATCTCTTGCATTTTGATCTGTTACTGCAAGATTCCCAGCTATAAGTTTGATGAATTGTATGATGCAGGCCCGAATGCTGGAGAGAACTCCATCTATGAGTGATCTGAATGAACTGGTGTTTGGACAGGTATGCCCATTCTTTTCAGACACTTATATTGAGTGGCATGTTATTTTCAAAAACAGCTTCTGAAAGTTTATTCTTCTAGTCCAATAAGGTGTCTATGTTTATTCTTCCAGTCCAGTAAGGTGTCTATGTATCTTGTCAACACCATCATGCAGGGCCATATATTTCTTGATTGTGTCATCTGGAAAGTGGGAATTAAATATGACTTGTGCATATCAACTATATTCTTATACTTGCTCTCTGCCCTTGTGCTGTCATATTGTGTTATTCCTTTTTTCATTCATATAGCGTGTGTGTCCCCCCCCCACCCTTTTTTTAAATGATTGTGTTATGCTTATTGAAAGTAATTGCTTTACGTGCTATATATTCATACCATGTGGACAGTTGATTGTGTGGAGAATGAATGGTGGGTGATAAAACTTTCTTTCTCTTTTTTTTGTGGGGGGGGGGGGGGGGGGGGGGGGGGGGGGGGGGTGAAGGAGAGGAGATTT